AGAATATAAGAAAGTCAACCATTTATTTATGTCTTTATCCCTATGACTCAGAGCAAAAAATACAACAAAGTTTAATGAATTTCTGTGCCTTTCCATTCTTTTTTCTGCCTTAAACCTGAAGATAAGTCGTAAATGTGCTTTAGAAAGAGCATTCTCTGTCTAAAGTGAACTAAAAAGTAATATAGTCAGGATTTGTTTTGAATGCAAATACAGAATTCTCTGTGCTTTGCAATGCTGAAATTCTAGAATTTTGCAAAATTTTTGGAGAACTTTGCATTTGCTGGAAAATACCAAGAATATAAAATACAAACTTTTGGTCATAGCCTGCGATCTATAAAGTCTGGGGCCATAGAGATAATACAGTGGGTAGCTTGCCTGGCACTTGGCCAACCTCCATTCAATCTCAGCACCCCATATGGAACCCTGAGCACTATCCAAACCAGGGGCATTGTTTGGCTGGCCCCCAAACCAAAGTAAGTTAACCAAGGACAAACTGAAATGTTTAAGAGGAATCTTCTAGAAAACTACTAGTTCGTCAAATGCTTCATTTCCATATTCATAAAGCTTCTTTAAAAGGTACTTTTGGATCTAATTTTTCTTTCTTTTTTTTTTTTTTGCTTTTTGGGTCACACCTGGCGATGCACAGGGGTTACTCCTGGCTCTTCACTCAGGAGTTACTCCTGGCGGTGCTCAGGGGACCATATGGGATGCTGGGAATCGAACCCGGGTTGGCCACGTGCAAGGCAAATGCCCTACCCACTGTGCTATCTCTCCAGCTCCCTAGGATCTAATTTCTACTAAGAAAGTGATAATGTTAGCAAGACTTTTGCTATCAGCCTCTCTCGCTTTCATTTCCTGTACAGACTGAATCCCAAGATTAACAAAAGAGTGCCCATAACTTCAACATGTTTACAACTCATTATCAATGCCGAAAATTAACCCCTCCAAATGAAAACTTTGGAATTATAAGTCATTCGATGCCTTTACCATTATTCCTGGGATACAGTGCTGACACAAAAATAAAGTCCTGCCAACAATAAACAAATCTGTAATTTCCAAAATTCCTTTCATATAGTCCTGCAAAGCCCCATTTCTTTATGTTGAGGTGCTACTGTCTCAAAGATTTATCTTCTCAAGCTTTTCTACTTCAGCCTCAGTGCTCATCTTTCTTTCACCCAATGACCTTATTCTGCTTCAGAGGGAACAGAGACTCTGAAAGCATTTTCTTGATTTCCATACCTCCTTGTCTGGGGCCCTATTTTTCCTCTATCTTCTATTTTCAGCCTGTTCTGTGAGTGGCTCATATGCCTAATCCCTCTCTTCTCTAGTCCCTTAATCCTGATACATAAGTATGATCAACGTCACCCAGGATTTTGTTTTTAGTCCACTTTATGTCACTCAATGCACACTTTTCTCTTTATAGAATTCAGTTGTCTAATGCTCCCATGGCTACTTTTAGCTCAAGATTTCAAAGCTATGCCAGTGAATTCTCAGCAACTGTTTGACTCATGATTCTAATCGTGATAAACACGTTCCTCTAGAGAATCTTGCAAGAGAATCAAACTTAACTACTCGAAGTTCAAATCTTATCTTTATTCCACTCAAATTATTCTCCATGAATTTTCAAACTGCTTACAATCTAGAAATTGCAGTTACGGCATAAAATTCACTTTCTCATACCTCCCCATTCTTTTTTTTTTCTTTTTGGACCACACCTGGCGTTGCACAGGGGTTACTCCTGACTCTGCACTCAGGAATCACTCCTGGCGGTGCTCAGGGGACCATATGGGATGCTGGGAATTAAACCTGGGTCGGCTGCATGCAAGGCAAATGCCCTACCCGCTGTGCTATCGCTCCAGCCCCATACCTCCCCATTCTTCAGCACCACTGGCATTCCCTCAGAATGTCTATCCCAGTCATTTTTTCTGTTCTATTGAGTTTAGAACTTTTAGTCTGCCCTAGATTACTGCAAAAATGATCTACAAATCTATTTGTAGATTTGTACCAGTAGATTTCTACCAGTTCCCTTTTACAACTGCTACTTGAATACAGCCTACACAAAACGGTCAAATGTTTAAAAGAAAATAGAACCAAAAACACTTTAGACCCCAACTTCTAAGAGAATAAAAGTCCTACAAAGGCTAAACCATGCCTCTGTTGACGCTCCTAGTCCTATGCATCTGCTATTCAAAGCAGAAGATGGTGACTATCCAGACCTGTTCCCCTCCATGAACTGGCCACACTGTCCTTCACTACAATATTGATCTGCCAAGTACACTCCTATTCACAATACAAATTTAGCTCAAGTTCCAGATTTGTTCTGGGGTAACAGCTGGTGGTACTTAGGGCTTGTTCCTGACTACTCAGAGATCACTCTTGCTGGGGCTTGGGGTCAGGAATCAAAATGGGTCAAATGTATGCAAGAAAAACACCATACCTATTATACTATCTCCTTGACACTTAGTTCCAGATATTTTTAAAATCCTTGCTAATAAGTCCAGGCAAAGATTCCTGGGGGCTCAGAAATAAGTTTAATTATTGCACAATCAAAGTGTACAATAACTTGATTATATGTATTCATCAAACAGCTCCTTAAGAGCAGGACTTACATACTCCTATCTGTATCTTAGCTAATGCCTGACAATAACGGAGGAATAAAAAAAATGTCCTTTCTCTTAATGCCTAATTAGGATACACAAAGATCTTAATAAAACATGACAGTGAATATTTACCAATATATTTCCACAATACCTTCTATCGGCATTCTCCCACTGCAGACCAGCACAGTGTTCACTGGCCTGCCGACAGGCTGGCCTGAGCAAGGAGGCAGATCTGGAGTTTTCCTCCTTCTTACACTTTGAGCTGGAGCGATAGCACAGCTGGTAGGGCGTTTGCCTTGCATAAAGCTGACCCAGCCGACCCGAGTTTGATTTCTATGCCCCGCTTGGAGAGCCCGGCAAGCTACCGAGAGTATCTTGCCTGCATAGGGGACCATATGGGATGCTGGGAATCGAACTCGTGTTGGCCGCATGCAAGGCAAATTTTTTAGAAGCATTCAACTTAAATAAAATTAAGTTTTTCCTGACAGCACACAGCAACAAAGAACAATGCTGGAGGGCACCACAGCTCCCGGAGAATGCTCCAGGTCCCAAACAGAGCCGATCTCACAGGGAGGTCCCAGATGGGGTAGGTGCCGCATCCTGCCTTCTCCAGATGGAACCCCGGTGACCATGAGTTTCTACAAGCATAGCTCAGGCACGCGGGAACCAGGACATTTCCTCCAAACTGCAATGGAGCCTGCCCGGGCTCCCAGGCAACCTCTGATTCCGGAAGTCACGCCCATAACCTGCCCCCCAGCGCCATCTTTACAGCACACCGCTGGTGGGCACCACAGCTCTTGGAGAATGCTCCAGGTCCCAAACAGAGCCGATCTCACCGGGAGGTCCCAGACGGGGTAGGTGCTGCATCCCGCCTTCTCCAGATGGAACCCTAGTGACCATGAGTTTCTACAAGCATAGCTCGGGCATGCGGGAACCAGGACAATTTTTCCAAACCTTTCCGACATCTCCTTATATATATAAAGCGATCAATGGAAAGTAAATCATCCAACGTTTCTCCCTGAAAATCAGGCTTAACTCTTTTGCAAACCACAACACTCAAAAGGAGAGAGAGAACAGAGGGAAATGCCCTTCCACAGGGACAGGGTGGGATGGGGGTTATGGAGGGAGGGATACTGGGATCCGTGGTGGTGGGAAAAGGGCACTGGTGGAGGGATTGGTATTTGAAATAAAAAGTAAATAAATAATTTAATAAAAAAAAAACTAAGTTTTTCCTCCATTTCTTCTCTTCTTTATTTCAGGCTAAATTTGAGAACCCAGAAAATAGCTCCCCTCCCCCCTTTCTGCTACAGCTGGCTGTGGTGATGGCAGGATGCTCAGCCCAACAGAGCACTCTGACAGTACTCTGACTGTCTGGGACACACTAGGCACCAACAGAGCACAATGACAGTCTAGGACACACTGGGTGCCAACAGGGCACTCTGTCTAGGGCACACTAGGCACCAACAGGACACTCTGTCTAGGACACACTAGGCGCCAAAAGAGCACTTTGTCTAGGACACACTAAGGGCCAACAGGACACTCTGTCTACGACACACTAGGCGCCAACAAGACACTCTGACTATCTAGGACACTCTAGGCACCAACAAAGCACTGACTGTCTAGGACAAACTAGGTTACAACAGGGCACTCTGTCTAGGACATACTAGGCACCAACAGGACATTCTGACTGTCTAGGACACACTAGGAGTCAACAGTACACTCTGACTGTCTAGGAGACACTAGGGGCCAACAGGGCACTCTGACTGTGTAGAACACACTAGGCGCCAACAGGACACTCTGACTGTCTAGGACACACTAGGCACCAAGAGGGCAGTCTTTCTGCAGGGCACAGTCATGGTGCTCACACATGGCTGCAGTATACATGATGGCCACGAACTGTTTGGTGCCATGGGTCACAGATGGCCATGCTGCTGGGCTCTTAGATAAGAGCATGTTAGTTGTGAGTGAACTCCCGCCTCAGGCCTGCAAAGCAGGTGCTCTACTACTGAGCCAGCACCGGGTCCCAAGACACAAAATACATGAAAAAAACTTACAGTGTGAAGCAGATTTAAGCTAAATATGAGAAAACAATGTGGAGCACGATTTAGGGCTGGCGCGATAGCACAGTGGTAGGGCGTTTGCCTTACAAGTGGCCAACATGGTCGACCTGAGTTTGATTCCTCCGCCCCTCTTGGATTGCCTGGCAAGCTACCGAGAGTATCTCGCCCGCACGGCAGAGCCTGGCAAGCTCCCCGTGACGTAATCGATATGCCAGACACAGTAACAACAAAGTCTCCAATGGAGACGTTACTGGGCCCGCTCGAGCAAATCGATGATCAACGGGAGGGCCTTTACTTACTTTACTTACTTTACTTATGAGAAAACAGGAAAAAAAAATACCTTGGCAAAGGTGTGAATTCACTGATTAGTCCCTCTGCTCCAAGTGTGACCCCCTGGACAATAAATGTACTTCCCATTCCTTTCCACAGGGCTCGTGGTCCCTAAAGTGAACACAATTCAATGTCATTTCTTTTAATGCCTAATTAGGATACACAAATATCTTAATAAAACATGATATGAATATTTACTGATATATTCCCACAATACCCTTCTATCAGCATTCTCCCACCTTCTCCCACTGCAGACCAGCACAGTGCTCACTGGCTTGCTGATAGGCTGGCCTGAGCAAGGAGGCAGATCTGGAGTTTTCCTCCTTCTTACACCTTGAGCTGGAGCGATAACACAGCCAGTAGGGCATTTGCCTTGCGCACGGCTGACCCGGTCTACCCGAGTTCAATTTCTCTGCCCTTCTTGGAGAGCCCAGCAAGCTACTGAGAGTATCTCGCCTGCACGGCAAGCCTGGCAAGCTACCAGTGATGTATTCGACATGCCAAACACAGTAACAAAAAGCACTGTTCCATTGCAATTTCAATATTTGGGGCGGGGCGGCGTGGAGCTAAAGTTAGGTCAAGATGAGTGCTGCAGTTATTGTGATAATACTCATTAAATACATCTAGTATTTCATTATCTTGGCAAAGGTAAAAATTCACTAATGATTTTAGAAGATCAAAGAGATCATTACCATGCTTTTAGTTTTTGTACAAGAATTTAGAATTTTTATCAAACAGAATTGTTATTACTTATTACTAACACCAAATGGCACTTAAATGTATCTTCAATAGAATCTATGAACAAAATCTTACCTGAGTTTTGTTGAAGCTGTACATAATATTTATGACTGTAAATGGAGTGAGGTGATAATATCGAGCATGGTAATTAACCTGTAAAAAAAATATTAAATGATTATTTTCTTCCATTTTTTCCCAAAACATAACAAAGTCATAAAAACAAACACTAGAGCCAAAGGATAAACAAAAATCAAAAATTCAATTCAAATTTCAACATAAATTACAAATGAGTGAATTTACTCTTATTTTATTTATTTTTTTCTTTTTGAATCACATCTGGCGATGCTCAGGGGTCACTCCTGGCTCTGCACTCAGGGATCACTCCTGAAGGTGTTCAGGGGACCATGTGGGATGTGGGGGATTGAACCCAGGTCAGCCGCGTGCAAGGCAAATGCCCTACCACTGTACTATTGCTCCAGTCCTTACTCTTAAACATTTTATTAAAAAAAAAAATCTGAAAGTATGGCATTAAATATACCTCGGGCTGGAGCGATAGCACAGCGGTAGGGCGTTTGCCTTACAAGCGGCCAACATGGCCGACCCGAGTTCGATTCCTCCGCCCCTCTCGGAGAGCCCGGCAAGCTACCGAGAGTATCTCACCCGCATGGCAGAGCCTGGCAAGCTACCCGTGTTGTATTTGATATGCCAAACACAGTAACAACAAGTCTCATGATGAAGATGTTACTGGGCCCGCTCGAGCAAATCGATGAACAACGGGAGGACCGTGCCCGTGAAATAAAATATACCTCTAAAAAATATATAATATACATAGAAGTGTGGACAATGCAACAAAGATGTGCTGTTTACTCATATTAAACATTAGACTTGTATTTATTGTGGCAAAATACTCATGCCATTTAACGTATGAGAGTCAAGAAGAATTCCTCCCATAGAAGATTTTTTATCTCCTAAGAGTATGGATCTTTCAAACTATGAGTTATCATGAACTGGCACTGTAGCACTGTAGCACTGTGGCATAGTCCTCTCATTGTTCACTGATTTGCTCGAGCGGGTCCAGTAACGAGTCCATAGTGAGACTTGTTGTTACTGTGTTTGGCATATCGAATATGCCACAAGTAGCTTGCCAGGCTTTGCTGTGTGGGCAAGATACTTTTGGTAGCTTGCTGGGCTCTCCGAGAGGGGCGGAGGACAGGGTAATTTAAATCAGATATGAGAATCAAAACCAGTACTGAATGAAATAAAAACTATCAGAACATACTACAAATACTTGGGTATCATTTCATAAAACTTAAAAAAAAAAACTCTCGCCTGAGCAATAGTACAGTGGGAAGGGCGTTTGCCTTGCATGAAGCCAACCAGGGTTCAATCCTCGGCATCCCACCTGGTCTCCCAAGCACCATCAGGAATGATTTCTGAGTGCAGAGCTGGGAGTAACCCCCGAACATTACCAGGTGTGTTAAAAAAAAAAGCCAAGTAAACAAATATGTAAAAATGTTCATATACATATTGGATCATAATGTATTATTGTTAGTTTTAGTAAATATAAGTCTAAGCTATTTAAATAGCCATCTCTCTTTCTAGACAAATGCCTATTTTTGGTATTAAGCATAAGCAGATTAACTTATTTGTATCTTTTCTCATTCGGTTTTCAGAGAAGCGAAATTACACATTTCTACCATAGTGTGGTCTAATTCCCCTTTTAGGGTATTTCTAAAAGTATAAAAAAACTACTTCTAAAGTACATTTGTGCTGCTATGTTCATCGCAACACTACTCACAATATCCAAGAACTGGAAACAGCCCAAATGCCCCAGAGGAGAGGAATGCATAAAGAAACTGTGGTGTCCAGATACAACGGCTGTAAGAATGATGAAACGCAGTTTAGCGCTCTGTGGGACAGCCTGGACAGAAGCGAGCTTTACAGGGACAGGTACAGACATAAAAATATGAAGGCATCAACAAATGGCCAGAGGCAACAGAACCTGAAACTGGTCCACAGAACAGAGCATACCAGGAGCTGGCCGAGGTGGGAGGAATTCCTTTGACAATGGTGAGGGAAGCAGACACTCCTGCTGGGTGTGATGTTAAAACACTGTGTTCATGAAACTCTCACCAGCAGTATTATAAATCATAGTGCCTCAATAAAATGGGTGGGAGGTATTTTCAGAGTGATGTTTATGTATATTTGTACAGATATTTTCAATAGTGAAAAGTAATAATGGATAAAACTGTTTACTCCTTATCATGACACAAGGTACTGGCACTAGCCTGTTTTTGAAAATTGCACATTTTGAAGCCTGGAAGTTAGCGCAGCCTGGAAGATAGCACAGGGTTACCCCTAACATGCTGAGTGACCCTGGAAGACAGCACAAGTTTACCCTGATATTCTGTCAGATCCTGGGCGATAGCACAGGGTTACCCCTGACATGTTGACTGACCTTATGAAATAGCCGAGTTGCCCCTGACAGGATGACTGACCCTGAGTTAACAGACTCTGAGACAGCACAGGATTGCCCCTCACATGCTGACGGACCCTAGGAGATAACACAAGGTCATCCCTGACATGCTGACTGACCCTGGGAGAGTCAGGCAGCACAGAGTTGCCCCTGACAGGCTGACGGACCTGAGAGACAGAACAAGGCTGCCCCTGATAGGCTGATGGACCTTAAGCGATAGCACAGAGTTGCCCCTGACAGGCTGACTGGCTCTGGCAGACAGCACAGGGTTTCCCCTGACATGCTAACTGACCCTGAGCTGACAGACCCTGAGAGATAGCACAGGGTTACCCCCTCACATGCTGACGGACCCTAGGGTTGTCCCTGACATGCTGACTGACCCTGGGAGACTCAGGCAGCACAGAGTTGCCCCTGACAGGCTGACGGACCTTAAGAGATTGCACAGGGTTGCTCCTGACAAACTGACTGACCCTAGAAAATAGCACAGGGTTGCCCCTGATGGGCTGACTGACCTTGGGAGACAGCACAGAGTTGCCCCTGACTGGCTGACAGACCCTGGCAGACAGTACAAGGTTGCCCCTGACAGGCTGGCTGACCCTGGCAGACAACACAGGGTTGCATCTGACAGGCTGACTAACCGTGAAGGTAGAACAGGGTTGCCCCTGACAGGCTGATGAACCCTAAGAGATAGCACAGGGCTGCCCCTGACAGGCTGACAAACACTAGGAGATAGCACAGGGTTACCCCTGACCTGCTGACTCACCCTAGTTTGATCCCCAGCACCCAATGGTCCCAACCCCCACAAGCATTACAGGAGGTCCACAGACCCAAGCAGTATCACATGCTCTGATTCTAACATCAGCTGACTGACACAGCTGGCCCGTGGTCCCTTTCCATAATAATTATTTTACACAATTTTTCCCATTAATAAGCATACATCTATGTCCAATTAATAGTGTTGCAGTGATCAAAGCAGATGGGAGGGTTGAAGAGATAGTACTGTGGGCAGGGCACGTGTCTTGGAAGGTACAGACCCAGGTTTGATCCCTAGCTACCCTGATGTCTTACTGGGATCAATCCCTGAGAATAGAACGAGGAGTATGCCTTGAGCACCACAGGATGTAGCCCAAAAATCTAACAAGCATTTAAAAACTCAAAGAGAAAGAGAGAAGAAAGCCGCTGTCAAGAAAAAGCACTGTGTGTGATGGAGCTGTACAGCTGAGCTAACCATGGACTTCACTCACATTTGGGAGGGACATCTTCACAAAACAACAAAATCAGTTTCGTGATTTAAACAATTAAAAAAATTACAGTATTATTTTCCTAAAGATAAAACTGAGATTACATGCAAACATTAGAATTTTGAAAAACAGCACTGACTATCAAGATTTTAAACTGAAATATTTTTTGATGAGATTGGTGATTTTAACTATTTTCATATGGTATATATAATCAATTAGATCTCTAGAGAATAGGTCGTGTAAACTTATTCACTAAATAAGTTTAACTTTTTAAACAACAACATTAAAATCTGTTGATTTAAACTATATATCTACTCAACATACAGTATAAATCAAGAGATTTTAATGTTACAGTTTAAAAAGTTACCTTATGTGGTGGTTTTTTTGTTGTTGTTGTTTTTTTTGTTTTTTTTTTTCTGGTTTTGGGCCATACCTGGCAGTGCTCAGGGCTGGAGTGACAGGATCAAAACTAGGTAGGTCACATCAAGGCAAATGCCCTACAGCTGTACTATCATACACATGAAAATACAGCTATCTTCTATGATACCAAAAGTTAAAAATATTTGCACAAAAGTAAAAGTTATTTTTCATAAAAATTCTTATTTAATATTTAATGGTATCTATTTATGAATTAGTAAACATATTTTTTAATTCCAGTTTTGATTTCTGAAATATAACACAAGTTCTTTGAAGAAACCAATTGATGTTTTAAATAGGAGGTTTTAAAACCCAAAAGTTTCTGAACTGATACAAATTTTTGTAAAATTTTACTCAAATGGGAATAGAGATTACAATAGAGGTCTGTCATTAACCTGAACTGTACACTTCAAATCAGGGCTAGAATAATTATAAGGTGATAGAAAGTCTATTTACCTGACACTGGCGGCGTAGAACAATGCAAGGATGGGCCAGTACATTTTCTGTAAAGAGACTGTATAAGAATTGAATTTTATTAACAGTAAAATGAGTAAAGCAGTTTATCAAGTTTATTATACAAATTATTTTGAGTGATAATGCATTGTTTTTATTTCTCATTCTTAAGAGCTAAACTGTTTTTAAAATATCTGACATCCTTCCAAATTCCTCTACCAATGACAAAATTCTGTATGATTTTTGCAAACTGATGAGCAAGGAAATCAATATCAATAAATAAAGCTTTATCATGCCGTGCCTGATAGAGAATTCCTCTCCTAGACATCTGTGTGGCTCTCCACTTCCCTCAGAGGAAGCCCTGTGAGCCAAGCTCCCATCAGCAGTGCCACCACCATCTCATCTTCACCAGCAGCTTTCTGCTATTTTTGGTTCTAACAGAAGCCTGAACTTAGCAATTTTAGTGACCATTTTAATTGACAAGTATTTATGTAGCATGTATTTCTTTTGAAAATATTTCCAACTAGTTCATTACAATGTGGTCCTCATAGCCGTACATACCTATGTGTATTAATACATCAGTTGCAAGTACAAAAAGTGAGACTAAAATAATTAACTCAGAAGAAATCATTTAATATGCAAATTTTGCTTCTGTCTTTAACATATTTAGATTTAATTATGCAAATAAGGCAATTTTTCTTGATAAATGTATTTATAACAGTTATTTTGTTATGTGACACAAGCTTTATGCAAAATCAATATTCTGATTAAAGATACCAAGTTTTTCTGGCATGAAATAAAAGCCTTTGTGGAACAGAGATGTTCATGTAAAAAAATGGTAAAAAAATAGTAAATGAACAGAGATGTTCATTTAAAAAAAATAGTAAAAAAAAATAGTAAATTAAACACCGCTGCATATTGCTAAATATATCACTAAATATTTTAAGTTTTGCTAAATTTGAGTATTAGGAAGTAGAACCAATGGACAATTTATTATGAACATGCTAAGATGAGAACTGACAATCCCTTTAAAATTATTTCATAGAATTTAAATAATAATTTCTTGGAAACTTTTAGTATTTAATATACTGCTCCAAATAAAACAAAAGCAATAGTAGTGATTCTTTTTAAGTTACGTTTTAAAATTTAAGTTAAAAATTTTAGATAAAATTTTACCTGGCAAGTCCAATACCAAATCCAGCAAATCTATTCAACTGTTCTAAAAATAGAAGAAATAAGATCATTCATAACCAACATTTAGGTTTACTGTTAAAACACATTTTCTAAACATGACATTCAAAATCTAGTTTCCCAAATTAGGCAGCTCACCAGTTGTGCTGAGCACATTCTTTGCTTATAGAAGGCAGGAGTTTGATTCCAGCACTGCTCGGCCCTGAGGGCAACAGGGAGTGATAGTTGGGCTCTGGTAGCCAGGGGAGCCTCTGAGCCCCAAATCAAACCCAGTATGACTTCCAAGGCTAGGATGTGTCTCAATGATACACCTCATGCCCTGCACCTGTAAGGCTCCAGGCTCAACCCCCAACATCACCAAAATCAATGCAATGTTTTTTTGAAAGTGGAGGATGTCATTTGGATTTATGAACAAGCCTCTGTTGGACTGTGGAAAGCTGTAAGTAGATCTACAGACACAACTACTCATATGGTCGCAGTTCACTGGCACTTGTGAGACTGTGGAGAGGGGGTTATAAGGTATGATATTTCCCAAAAAGACAGTCTTATTTTTACATAGAATCTTCTAATTCAAAACTATTGCTACTATTTTTAAAAGTGTTAAAACACTGTATGGCCCAAATCAAGTAACTGTGGTTAAATCTCAGGGCCACCTGTTTTTTAATTTTTTGGTCTACCCTCCCCCATGGCTTACTCCTGGCTCTGCACTCAGGGATTACTCTGGTGGACTTGGCGGACCATCCAGGGCGCCAGGGATAGAACCCAGGTCAGAAGTTTGCAAGGCAAGCACTCCACCTAGTCTATTATTATTGCTTTTTCTTTCTTTTAAATTGCAGTGTTGGAAATTTTTTTAACCTAGGGTCTCACCTAGTGCTATACCACTGAGCTATAGCTCTGGCCCAGGTGTTTAATTTATGAGTATGAACAAAACATTTTTAATAGGAAGCTCCAGTGAATACTTACTACCTTCCACTTTGTAAAATCAACCATTTACTATTACCTTAAAGAGAACATTTCTGTTAAATGAATAGTACCAACTAAAAGCCAAAATTATAGTGAAAGAATGCTTGGGACAACCAAAATGGGTAAATAAACAAGGCCCTCTTCTCTATCTCACCACACTTTAGTTTGGGTACCTGCTTAGCTGGGCATGTATATGCTACTGCTGATGAAATGCTATTATTGCAAAAGTTTAAAACAGGAGCTTCCTATATCTATGTCAAAATGGAAAAACAAAATTTTCTCTGAACCATAAAGTTCAAAATTATAATATCACAAACCAAGGAGTCTGTAGAAATCCCCATTTATCTCTCAACTCTACCTCTAAATCTGTTTTTAAGAAATGCAAGCAGGTTTCATGAAATGCAGAGGGCAGGGTGTTTACTGTGCACCGGCCAGCAGGGGCTCCATCCCTGGCGTCCCACATGGTCCCAGGGGCCTGCCAGCTCCTTGGCGCAGAGCCAGCAGTGTGCCCTGCGCTGCGGAAGCAGGTTGAGGCCCAAAGACATGTAAATAAATACATGTAGAGAGACCTGAGGATAAAGACATCTTCACGAGAGAGCTCTCTTTGAAAACGAAAATAAGCAAATACAGCAGGGCGCTCACTATCCCGCCCAGACTGGGCAGGGCCGAGTGGCCGTATCTGGGGACACCAGGGGCCATGGAAACTCCAAGGGCCCGCCAGAAGCCTCCTGTCCAGTCAAGGGCGGTCCTTTCCATGCTGCCCTTTCCAGCCTACAGGCCGCCCCCGGTATTAACAGAAAACACCACTCGTTTTTGGAGATACTAGGAAAGTTTCCTATAGCCACTGTGTACATTCAGACTTGCCTTTCCTTGCAGAACGCCTGTGACCGGCGCCGGGCAGCAGCGCCCCAGCCCACACCAGCTACTACAGCTCCTCCTCACTGTAACCACGGGAGCAAGACTACATCAGACTCAGTCAAACAAGCTGGCTGTGTAGGAAATGGAGGGGCATTCTGCAGTATTTAACCTAAATAATGATTGGGGGATATTTAATTCAAAAACTTCTTTTGGGAGCGCGCGGTAAAGAAAGCAGTCAACAGTGTTTACACGGCATCCTCCTGGACCCCCCTCCCAGCCTAGTCCGAGGATCTGACGACACTGAAAGCCTACCACCCAGTTAACCAAATATCACTGTACTGCTGGGTTGAAACATCAACATTAAAATCAAATGGCTCCCCAAATAACATTCAGTAAAATAATGAAACTAGTTTTCCGCGTTCAGGAAAGTGGGGCCCGCCAGCATGACACGTTTAGAAAGCAGAAAGCGCTGGGGCTGCTCAGACCACGCTGCAGGCCTGCTGCCCTGCACGGGCACCTCCAAGGCTGCACCCGCTTCTCCCTGCGGTCGCGCTGCGCCCCAGGCCGGCCAGGAAGCTGGGACTGGGCAGGACCCACTCAGACCCCGGGGCGGAGAGTAAGCGCCTCCAGAACCCGCCGTGGGCCTCCCGCTGCGCGTCTAGAGACAGGGGGCCCGCCAGGGACGCCCCCCAGCCCAGCGCCCCTGTCCTTGCCCCGTGCCCCTGTCCAGAGCTCCTGGCCTGCGGCCGTGCCCAGTGCCCTTGTCCCGTGCCCAGTGCCCTTGTCCCGTGCCCCTGCCCGCACCCTGCGACCCTGTCCAGGGCCCCTGCCCCCTCCCCACCCCATCCCGGTTCCGTGCCCCTCCCCTACCCCCCCGCCGCTGCCGTGCTCCTCCCCCCCCCAGCTGCCAAGCCCCTCCCCTGCCCTCACCGCTGCTCTGCGCGCGCGCGTGTCCGGGGGCGGGCTCGGGGGGAGCGCGTGGCGGGGACGGGGGCGCGCCCGGCGGGCTCTTGTCGGCCCAGTGCAGGTTGCGGCTCCCCGGGATGTCGGGCGGCGGCGTCACCCAGTGGCCCAGGTCCGACGCGCTCCCGAAGGGCCTGGCCACGAAGGCGCCGCCGTAGCCCGGCTCGCCCCGGTAGCCCAGGCCGTCGAAGCCGTCGGGCCGGCGCGGGTGCATCGCGGCAGGGCAGCGCCGTCCCGGGAGCCTGACAGCCGGAAGCGACGAGCACTTCCGTGGCACGCGGCACGTGACCGGCCGCTTCCGGCGCCGGCGGGGGCATTGCCAGGGAGACGCGTCCGTCAGCGGAGCCGGCCTTACAGGGGCATGTGACCGGCCGCTTCCGGCGCCGGCGGGGGCGTTGCCAGGGAGACGCGTCCGTCAGTTGTGGGGTTTTGCGGCGGGATTGGGGTGGGCTGCTGGTCTCTGCGCCGCGGTAGCGAGCCACGGGCGGCAGGGGCGGGACGGGAGCGGGACCCCGAGGCCCAGGCCAGCCGCTTTCCCGGGGGCCGAGGCCGGCGAGGCTGTTGGAGGCCGCGGGGTCCCTGCGGAGGGGTCGTGGGGGGCGCCCAGCAGAGCTGCCCGCCCCGTGCGGGCGCCGGGAGATGGCTCGCAGTGGGTGTGGGGCGGGGTGCCGTTCCCAACGTCCCCGAAACACCCGGGACACCCCACTGTATTCCAGATCGAGACCCGAGTTGAAAACGAGGACATCGGGTTCCCCACTACCTATTTTCGTCAGCTCCATGGGTTCCTTGCGCACAGCAGCCCCACCTAGATCTCACCGAGCCTTCCATGGGCTCCTGGTCCCTTCCCCCTGGACTACCAGGTTCCAGGAGAAGCATTCTGCACTGTTCATTCGCAGGCTTCCAGAAGGGAACCTCTCTTTAAAGGGACAGGCCACTTGGTCCCGTGGGCAGGTGGCTCGGACAGCTACGCTGGGGCTCTTTAATAAATCATAGTACCCAATTACGGGGTCGCTAATTAGCAGATTGTTGAGTGGGCATGGCTTGGGCAGATGTTTTGTGTCTCTCAATATTAATACAAAGGCGCTAATACCCAATTACTGGGTAACTAATATCCAATTATAGGGCCTGGCAATTGAAAATATTTCTTAGAAATAATTGGTGCAAGATGGGATCGACTTCATGGAAAAACGTATTGTTTATTAAAAGGAATGTGTGTGCACGTCTGTTGCTGACATGCTTTACAGTTAAAAGCAGTTATATTCTTCCACTTCACAGAGCATCTGTGGAAAAGGCAGGCAACGAGGTAGTAAGATGAGAAGAAACAACAGACTCACCTTACCCAAAAAACAAATTCCAACTGTAATATATTCGATTTTCTCTTTATGCATTAAAGATTGAATAGTCACTGTCACTGTCATCCCATTGTTCATGAATTTGGTAAAACGGGCGTCAGTAATGTCTTCATTCATCCCTGTCATGTGCTAGTGTAACCCGATGGCATATTGGGGGCTCTTTAAGGGTCAGAATATTAGAAGAAAATAATGGGTTGATATTTTCAAATAGTGCATTGGAAAACTTAACCAAAGACCAAAGGAAACATCAAAAGCAAAGCCATTATATAGAAAGACTAGTTGATCAATTTGACTATATAAAACTTAATTTTCTGTTTAGAAATGAAACAAAGGGCCCTAGAGTGATAAGTACAGCAGGTAGATCGTTTGCTTTGCACCTGGCCAACCTGGGGTTGATCCCAGGCATCCTTTATGGGCCAGAGAGACAGTACAGGGGATAAGGCATTTGTCCTGCACACAACCTACCCACTTTTGATCCTCAGCATTCCATATTCCAATATTTCACCCCACTTCCACTATTCAATCTTTAATACATAAAGGGACCTATATGGTCCCCCAAGTCCCGCCAGGAGTCCTGAGTACAGAGCCAGGAGTAATTCCTGAGTATCTCTGGGTGTGACTTCCCCTGTCCCCCTCCCAAAAACCAGGCATCCTATGTGGTCCACCAGGCCCTAAAGGAGTAATTTCTGAGTGCAGAGCCAGGAGTAATGCCTGATCATTGCTGTCTGTGCACCCTTCGAAAAAAATAAAAATGAAACAGGAACCAGTAATAAATATTGAAAAGAAGTCAAACTGAACAATTATATTTATCCTGATTTGGACAAGAATCTCTTGTAAGTAACAATGAGTATTGAATAAACACAAGACATGAGTCATATAAATGATGGGGCCTAAGAGATAGTACAGCAGGTAGGATGCTTGCCTTGCTCGAAGCCAGGAGTGATTCCTGAGTAAGAGCAAGGAGTAACCCTTTAGAATGCCAGGTTTGGCCCTAAAAAAACCCCAAAAATGCAAATGCACACTAGCTGTATAAAAAAGGTCTGCCTTCTACTAAATGTAAAAAAGGCAAAGCTGAGAGGTAAGTAGTTCTTAAAAAGTAGTAGATAAAAATTGGAACATTTTTGGCTGAAGGAAGTTTGGCTATAAATACAAAACCTACTCTCCAGTAGCCCATTATCTACAAAGTGGTCCACACACACATACACACACACACACAAATGTAAAGCCACATCTCACCCTGAGATTTTATTTTAACAAAAGATCTGGTGGTTCTTCTAGATTTTTCTTTTTGCTTGGAGGGCCACAATTTACAAAGTGTCCCTGAAAATAAAGATGAATTAACTCAGTGATCCTGTTATGTATTAACTTAAGCTCTGCTTTCAAAACCACAGGCTCTTGGCCTAGACTTCATTATCCTACTTTTTGTTAAATACTCAGATTAAAATAGTACAGTTTTCAGAAAGAATGCTCAGAAAGCTCGCTGGCAATGTATTCTATTTGGTCAAGTTATGTGTACTATAATTGCTGTAGGAGAGACTCTGGAGAACTCTGAGTAACAGGACTATTGTGCCTAAAAGCATCTTGTCTTTATAAACTTCCTGATGGAGAGAGGACTTTGGAAAACCAGGTCCAGCAAAGCTATTTGAGCATGCTCAATGAGTAACCCAATCTCACTGTTTTCTTAATTAAACCCAGATTATTTTACAAGCCCTTACCTGAAGAATTAGATGTGAATGATACACTTGATAAATGAATACACATGTTGATCTTCTATACACGTGCAACTTTAGTACTTTCTCATGCTAATCATGCCTAACTATTATGCATATTCTTTCCCTTTAATTACCTCCACGTTCTTTAAAACCTTTGTCCTGATGTCTGGGACTAGACATCCAGACATCCTTGCGAGATGCCACATCCAGATCTCTTTAATAAATCAGTTTACTATTACCGACACTTTTCCCTCTGTAAATTATTTCCTGGCAAAGACAAAGAACCTGGTCCTTCAGGTGAAGAGCACTTTCATAGTCTTTTTATCTGAATTTGGAAATTGATAAATCTCTTCCCGGCTTAAATTCTACACAGCTCTCCAGAGATAAAGGTTAGCAGGTGTTAGTTCCCAGGCAAAGTAGAGCAAATGAGTAGATACCTTATGAAATTGCCAGCCATACTGAGCAGGAAGAAACCTGGTCCTCTCTTATTACCCTTGAGGTAGCAGATATTCATCTGAGCCTTTCCTTATCTCTTTGGACTCTGGGAGTTTGTTCTAAGGGAAAGAAGCCACATTGGCACCACCCAGTGGCTATTTTTCTGAAGTGCATGTGAATGAATAGGCACTTTGAGAACTTGATTCAAAACAGAGAAAACTTCAATCAATAAACAGAGAACAAAATAATGTTGCCAATTAGCTAGAGAACTTATATTTTAAAATTATTAAAAAATTTCAGGTCATTTAAAAAGTTGTTTTCCTGCTTTCTTGTCTCTTTAGAAATAATAGTCAAGCATTTGAGAAACAAAATTAAGACAAACAGCAACCCATGCAAAGTAAAAATTCTCTTTTTTCTAACTGACTTTAAAAAGTAAAAATTCCAATTACAAAGCATAACACTTCATTATATAAGGATACTAAACTTTTCTTTTGAAGAAAGAAATTGGCACTAGTAATTAAAGAGAGGGATAAACTGGGGCTTAGACTTCTAGCTGTAGATAGCTTCAGATGGAGTAGTTGGAATGCTATGCAGCTTCGAGGAATGGTGAAATCCTGCTATTTTCTGCAACCTGGATGGAACTGGAAGATGTCATATTTAGTCACTTTGATGCAGAAAAAGTACAAACACAAGATGATCTCATTTATCTGTGGTATAGAGATTAACTGAATAAAGGAATATAACATAGTAGAGGGGGATGGATGCCCAGATCACCCTTAACCCCAGAGTACATGGAGGAGGAGAGAAGGAAAGAAATAGAGGGGGAAGGAACAAGATGAGAAAGGGAAGTAACAAGTGATGTGGGGTCAGGGCCCTTGGGGACACTGATTGTATACACTGACTGCGGATTCAACAACACTGAAAACATGTGATCTAGGTCACAACCACTGAACTTTGAAATGTGCCTGTCAAAATGGCAGGCTTGGGAGAGAAAGGAGGGAGGGGACTTGGAGACACTGGTGGAGGGAAATTGTCTCTGGTGGTAGGATTGGTGCTAGAATGTTATATGTATAAAAGTCAACTTGGTAAATCATGGTGCATTAAATTAAAATTAGAAAAGAAGTCTTTAGTTGTTTAATTGTAATTTTTTTCACCTAAGTAAAGCAACTGGAATACAGGTGGTTTCTGTACAATACAGTCTAAAAGATAACCTGCTACAAAGTACATATAGAATTATGTCAACCAATTTAGAATCAACGTAAAACCCTAGGTATAGTATTTCTCAGGTTCTTTTTTTCAAGTAAAGTAAAGTAAAGTAAAGTAAAGGCCCTCCCGTTGATCGTCGATTTGCTCGAGCGGGCCCAGTAACGTCTCCATTGGAGACTTTGTTGTTACTGTGTCTGGCATATCGAATACTCTCGGTAGCTTGCTGGGCTCTTTGAGAGGGGCGGAGGAATCGAACTCGGATCGGCCATGTTGGCCGCGTGTAAGGCAAACGCCGCCCTAACCACTGTGCTATCGGAGCGATAGCACAGCGGGTAGGGCATCTGCCTTGCACGCAGCCAACATGGCCGACCCGAGTTTGATTCCTCCGCCCCTCTTGGAGAGCCCGGCAAGCTACCGAGAGTATTCGATATGCCAGACACAGTAACAACAAAGTCTCCAATGGAGACGTTACTGGGCCCGCTCGAGCAAATCGACGATCAACGGGAGGGCCTTTACCTTACCTTTACCTTTTTTTCAAACTACATTTAGTGGACCCTCAG